TCCCCCTGCCTCGGCCTTCTGAGTGCTGGGACCATCGCCTGGCCAGAGAGTCCGTTTTCTTTAATACTGTAGTCCATCCAAGCTGCAGAGAAAGGTCACATATCCATGAATAAAAGAGCAGCACAAATTGGGTCTGATGGATGAGGGGAAAAAAAGACACAGTTGAGTGGGTAGGGAAGGGGGGCATGGATTTGGGAGGAGTTGGTGAACATGATCAAAATTCTTAAAGAACTAATAAGGAAAAAAGAAAACCAACAACAAAATCCAAACAAACAGATTAGGGTTTAAGGAGCTGGAGCCACTTCAGGTGGGATGTTCTTCAAAAACAAAAACAAAAAACACCTGGAGAATCGTGTACACTCTGGAGGACGCTAGAAACACCTTGAATGTCAGCAGTAGGCTCCTTGTTGGTGTGGTGATGCATGCCTGTACAAACAGCCCTTCAGAAATGAAGGCAGGAAGGTCATGAGTTCAAGGTCAGCCTCAGATACCTGAGACCTGGCCCCGCCCCCTGAAATGAGTAGGAGATTTAGCCCAACAAACGATGCAGACTCACAGTAACAGATGTGCAGAGACTAGACCTACTGCGAGGGCAGCTTAGCAGTGGCTGGAGCTACCGGGGAGCCAGGCTGTCAGGTGGTGTGATGTGCTCTTGGCCCCAGCCAAGCTGCCTTCCGTAGGACAACATAAAAAAGATTTCGTATTTACTCTAGTGGGATGCTTTTCGTCAAATGAACTAACCGACTTGGAGAATATAAGGAGAAATCCACAGAGTCTGTTTAAAGGGCAAAGAATTTATTAAGGGGAAAAACTCACGGTACAGAACAGAATTGACACAGGTTCTGGAACGCTGTTCCGGCCGCCTGAATCAGTCCCCCATCCAAGTCCCACAAAGGGACTACATACATCTCAGGTCTTAAGGGTCTCCAAGAGACCACACCCCAGGGGCATGTACTTCAAGGTCATAGCTAGGTACCTGCTGCATCTCTAGGGGTGGTGCTTCAAGGTCATAGGCAGACCAGCTATCCACTACATCAGAAGGCTTCTACAGAGTGATTGCCACCGTCAAGGAGGAGGGACATTTTAATCCTCACAACAGCTAAGTGAACCCTTGAAGGTAAGGCTAAATTCCAGATTAGGAACAAAACTTTAAAGGCTGGTAAGTGGTCATTGTTATTTTTCTATTTTAATTTTTTGAGACAGTCTTATTATGTAGCCCAAGCTGGCCTTGAACTCCCAGCAAGCCTTTCGCCTCAGCTTCCCAACTGCTGGGATTACAGAAGTGTGCCACCATGACCAACCAAGTCTGCTCCACTGTTAGGGTTTCCTCACCCCCCACTTCAAAGAAAGGGGTGAAGGGCAGGACAGGGGGTGTGCAGCATGCTCAGCATCTTCAGGGATAAAACACATTGCCATTTTAAAGGCATTTTTAAATTGGAAAAAAGGATTTATTTTTATTTTACATGTATGAATGTTTTATCTGCATGCATGTGTGTGCAGCATGTGCGTGCCTGATGCCTGAGGAGGTCGGAATAGGACACTGGTTTCCCAGGAACTGAAATTTCAGGATGACTATAAGCCACCACGTGAGCACTAGGAACCAAACCCCTGTTCTCTGCAAGAGCAGCAAGTGCTCTTAGCCACTGAGCCATCTTTCAGTCCTAAAGATTTTTTTTTTTTATTTTGAAGTGTGTGTGAACGTGTGAGTTTGTGCTCATGAGAGAGCAGTGTTCATGGAGGCAAGAAGATCGTGTCAGATCCCTTGGAAGTGGAGTTAAAATAGTTGTGAGCTGCTCAGTACTGGTGCAGGGAACCAAACTTGGGTCCTCTGCTAGACAAGGACATGCTCTTAACTGCTGAGCCAGGGAGCCATCTCTCTGCCCACACCCTTACCCCCCTTTTTTTCTTTTTTGGTTTTTGGAGACAGGGTTTCTCTGTGTAGGTTTGGTGCCTGGCCTGGATCTCGCTCTGTAGACTAGGCTGGCCTCGAACTCACAGAGATCTACCTGTCTCTGCCTCCCGAGTGCTGGGATTAAAGGCGAGTGCCACCACCACCCAGCTCTTTTTCTTTTTCTTTTCGAGACTGACTTGCAACAATCTCTTAGCCTCGTATGTGGAGGTGCATCGCCATGCCCAGCTTTACCCTACATTTTTGCATTTACTTTTTTGTTTGTGTGTGTGTGTGTTTGCGTGCAGGCTTGTGTAGGGGTCAGAGGACAGTTTTCTGGAGTTGCTTTTCTCCTTGCACCATGTGTGTTGTAGGAATTAAACCCAGGTTGTTAGGCTTAGAGGCCAGAGCCCTCACTGGGCCGTCTCACCAGCCTTACATTGTAAGTTTGAAAAGCCCGCCAGAGAAGTCTTACTAAGGTATTGCTGAAACTACTTCAATGTTGTAAAGACAAATTACTAAACTACATGGACAAAGTGAATATATATATGTACACTATATATGCTATGACGTGTCACCTTTGAAACTCAAAATTCATTGAATGAACACAATTCCCCTCAATATTATTGATTTAAAAATGAGCCTATGTCTATCTCGAGTTTTGGTAAGCTGTTCCCTCCTTCTCACATAGATTTTGTTCACATAATATGGAAATGTTGACTTTGCAAAAAATAAAAATAAAATCTATCTCTCTCCCTCCCTCCCTCCCCCCCTATATATGTGTATGTATATATATATATGCCTCACTTTGATTTTGTGTTTCTTTTTCTCCGTCTTCTCAAAGATGAAGACTGTTGCCCTTGTGATAACGGGGTGTGTGTATATCACACACATGCACATAACTGATCTTTGAGACTGAGTCTCAAGTAGTCCCGCCTGGCCTCAGGTTCGCTGTGTAGCTGAATGTGACCTTAAACTGGTCTCTCTCCACTCCCCTAGTACTGGGATTTCTTACTGACTCCAGTGGGAGGCACAGTGAATTCCAGGCTGAATTCATATAATAAGGACATGCTTTTAATAACAGGGGGAAAGCAATTTAAAAAAAAAATCCGGACTCATTCTTTGGAGTTGTTTTATTTATTCCTCCCACACTTCAAGTGCTGGGGACCAAACCTATAGCCTCGGGCATGCTAGGCAGGCATCTTACCGCTGAGCTATCCCCCAGTCCCATTCTTGTTTATCTTCATGGGGCAAATGATTCTAGCTCTATTTGGACCTAAATTTCTGAGAAAGAAAAGAGGAAGTGGAAAACCAACAGTCCCCTTCCCCTTCAGTGGTGATAAGCTGCAGCTGGCCTCAGGGCACCCCCCCCCCCCCCCAGGTTGCAGTGCGTTTATCTTCTCCCCAGTCCTCAGAAACAGCCCTGTTCCCCCGAAGTGGTCCCATGGGCTTGGGGTGGTGGTGGTGGTGGTGGTGGATTCTGAAACCCCTCTGCCAAGCTGGGAGGAGAGTAAAGCCAACAAGGCAGCACCACCAAGCCCACTGTAGTCCACAAAGGGCTGGGGGGGGGGGGGAGGGCAACTGCCCCTTGTAAATCCCCTGAGTCCCGGTAACAAAAGTCGGCCTGGAAAGGGGAAATTCCCAGTGGGAATGTACACAGCTGAGAACAGTTACAGACACGGAGAAGTGGAGCCGTGATTGGGGGTGGGATGGAGGGTGGTTTTCAGAAAGAAAGTCCCGAGCACACCAGCTCCTCTGACCACGACAGTGTGACTGGCCCGGGTGCGGGTGGCGCCAGGTACCACCGTTCTAGGTCCTCGAGGGTCTCTGAGTCCTCAGTGCCAGCCAGGAGCATACTGCGTGTGCTTTTCCACTGTGCCCTTCGACTTGCCCGCCTGCGTCCAGGGGCTGTCTTGTCCCCCCTGTCTCAGTTTCATTCACCTTTCGGCCCCCCCACAGGCTGGTGCACCTGGTGGGCACGCTGTCAGGGTCGGTGGAAAGGAAGAGAAGGAGGCAGTGGGGTGAGAGAGAAGTGAGCGGTCTCTCCTCGCCTCTTAAGACACAGACGGGATGTACAGGTTTTCCCCTAGAACAGGGCCGAAAGGAGGGGCTCCAGGTGACAAGTCCTTAACACACGCTTCCGGACAAACAGATGCGCAAGGGCGGTCGGGTGCTACTGGTGCTTGGCGGTGTTAGAGGCCAGTGGTCGAAGTTTCCAAAGTGTTTGGTTGCAGCCCTGGGATCAAACCCTTCTCTTTCTTATCTGTCACGATCCATTAGATCCCCCCAAGTGACAATGGCCATGGATGGGGAGAGTGGAGCCCCTCACAGCTCTGGCCTGGTGCTGTCTGTCGCTCCTCACGTAGACGTCCTCCCCTGAGGTTCCTGATCACCTTTCCATCCATCTCTCGAAGATCTCTTTTCCGCCAACCAGCCAGGCACAGCCTGCTCAGGTCCTGTCGGACTTGGAGACTGCAGACTCCGCCCCCTCTTTGGGTGAGTCTTCCCAAATCAGTCTCCAGTCCCTATCTGGATCAGGATCGTCGCTAGGGCAGGTTCTCTCCAAGGTGGAGTTTCCTCCAAAGTGGACGGCTCCACCTCCCGCCCCAGAGTGGACGCCCTTCGGTGCTCCAAGAGCCTGCCCTGGCCTTTGAGCTCAGGCTGCCCGGGAGGTGACCGGTCCTGCGGCTTCAGGAGAAACTGCCCCTCCTCTCGCTCCGGGGCTGGTTACAGTGGACCGTGGGGAGTGGGAAGGGGGCGGGTCTCCGGGGGCCGGTACTTTCCGACGCTGGAAACGCGCTCAGCCCTTGGCGTCCCGGGACCCCATTAACACCAGGGTCCCCAGGGAGCGGCCCAGGGAGGGGCGGGGCGCCCGCTGTCCCTCACGTTGGCTCTCAGCCTCTCGAGTTACAGCTTCGGGTTCTCCCGCGGGTGCCTTTCCCTGCTCCGGGACAAAGCGGCTAGGTGGCAGTGGCGCGGTCAGGAGAGGACCCCCGCGGCGCTCGGGACTCCAGCTCGCAAGGCGCCCCGCCCGCCGCCCCGCTTCCACCCCTCCCGGCAGCGCAGGGAAAGCCCCCGCGGCTCCTCCCACCCCAGGGGCTTTTCTCCAGTCGCCAGCGACTTTGCTTCGGGAGCGCAGCCGCCTGGCGCCGCTTTCCGCCGGGCTGGAGCGCACGGTGCCCCTGGCTCTTCTGCGGAACGCAAGGGGCAAGAATCGGTGACCTCGGGGCGCGCCCCGCGTCCCGGGTCCCCTAACCGTCACCTCGGCCCCCGGCCCGCGCCTAGGCCTCCAGCATGGTGCTGCTGGCTGGGCCCGGGCCGGAGGGCGGCGGGACACGCTGCTTGTCCCCGCAGTCGCCGACGCCACCCCGGGGCGTGCAGACAGGGGACGACCCGGGGGACTACGAGGAGTACGAAGACTTCTCGAGTCTGCCGGACACCCGCAGCATAGCATCAGACGACTCCTTCTACCCTCCCGGAGGCGAGGAGGAGTGCGGCGCGGCGAGCGCGGAGGGCGTCCCGGAGGGCGTCCCGGAGGCGGCGACCCTCCTGCGCGCCGCCTGCACCAACGACGTGGGGCTGCTGCGGGCGCTAGTGCTGCGCGGTCCGAGTTCCGAGGAGGTACGAGAGACTGACCGCAACGGCCGGGTAAGCTCGGGTTTGGGTCCCCTCCGCTCTCCTCCCTCGCCCCGACCCCCGTGCCACCCCAATTCTGGGTCTACTGCCGCCCAGAGCACCCTTTCCTTCTGTGTGGCGTTTGGTAAAGGGACACCATTTGCTCCGCTCAGGTGCGGAGCGGGCTGGAGATGGCCCAACTCAGCTTCCTAATGTATCCCAGTTCCTTTACCGCCCCGGGGACCCCTGGTTTTCCCCGGAGGCTCGCGCTGGAAAAGTGTTGACGTCTGGGGAGGTGTTCCTTTCTATTCACTGCCTCACTGACGGCTGCATTCCCCCAGGCCCCAGGTAGGTGATGGTCTCTACTCCCCTGCAGGGGACCACCTTTTCCTACCCTCACTCTCCAGTCCGTTTGTCCCCTGGCTCCTCCCGCTGCCCTTGCCCAGCACGTTGGTGTCCGAATTAGGATTTGGAAGCTACAGTTCCTTTCCTTACCCAAACCGCCCTGTCTTGCCATGCTTCTCCTAGTGGCCCGCGCTCCGGACCAGCCAGCCTCATCTGCGGTCACCGCTGGCTGTGGGGTCGAAGCCTACGAGCCCTCACAGCCACCCTTCAGGCAGGCCGGGTGCCACGCAGCACCGTAGCAGCACACACCGGGGCCGGCACACAGCGAGATAGGGAGGCAGTCTCCATTAACTATGCCAAGGCTCAGAGAGAGAGCAAGGAAGTTTCAAAACAGAAAAGAAAAAGTTGGAGAGCTCTTCCCCCTGAACACGAACACGGAAATTGACCGCTGTGCCCGTGTCCCCATTAGTCTCCGCTGGGTGGACAAACAGCCTCACCTGATTTCCATGTTCCCGGAGGCCCCATGGTTTCTGCAGACTCAGCCCTGCACAAATTAGGGACGCCTGGGCTTCTGCTGGGGACTCACAGCTGACAGGGGGAAAAAAAAGCGCTTTACTATAGGGACGCGGTGACCCCGTGCCTTTGGCTTATCTTGTATGTATGCAGTGGTTTGCCCCCCACTGCAGTCTGGGTCAGACTGAGGCCAGTGTGTCGCTTTCTGCTTTCGATAACCCGACAGCGTTGAACTTGGAGGAATGGTTTGTGCCTGTGATGTGTCAGGGAGACCTATATGATGAAGGCAGCACCACCCTGGTGCCCTGTGGTGGCCGTTCCAGCTGGCGTGCCGTAGGAGGAAAGGCTCAGGGGGCTATTTCTCTGCTCCACATTCAGTTTAACTAAGCGAGTTTTCCGGGTCAGGTGTTCTCAGTAGAAACCTCTTCTTCCTGAGCAAGCATAGCCGCCGCGGCTTGGAAGGATCGCCACTGACAGAGGGTCTCTCTCCGTGTTTGGGGTGGTCTTCACTGGAAGCCTTCACCTGTGAGTGGCCACTGGCCTCCTCGGCTTTATTAAATTTTCAGGGGGCGGGGGAGGACGGACGCACAAACAATCAAAGTTTGAAGGCAGCAAGGAGAAGTTAAACCATCCACCGAGGCTTGAGCAGGACCCCTGTAGAGCCCATCCCCCGCACAGAGGCTGGGAAGGGCCAGGTAGGAAGGAGCCTCCCGGCAGGTCCTGTTTTCCTCTTGTGTAGCACACCTGCAGTGACAGTCCCTTCTGCGTGGTGTGTGAGCCTGGAGAAGCCCGGCACACATGGCCCTCGTTTACCATCTTTCTCCCCATTACTCCCTCGTCTGCTTCCCTCGGTCTGAAGAGAATGTGGTCCAGCCTTGTGCCCCTTGCGCCGGGTAACGGTTTCTCTTGCTCTGGTTTTCTCTTCCTTTGATTATGAAGATAGAGACTGACGGACCTTTGTTCTGCTTTGTACCCATCAGATGACCCTGGGGGCCCGAGGGAAAAGGGTCCTGGGCTTTTGATCTCTGGGTCGGAGGACTAGGCCTATGCTTTGCGTGCCCCGAGGGGAGAAAGCAACAGACTACGTTTTTAACCCTTAGCTGTTAAGGAGAAAGCAAGAGACTTAGGGAGTCGGATGGCAGGAGACTTCTGGTCAGGCCCGTGGAGTCAAGGGGTAGTGGCAGGTGCATTATGGTTTGTTTGGTCATGGCCTGGAGTGGAGAGGAGGGGGCTGGGGGAGCCGAGGCCAGAAAGGTCCACTCAGGCCAGGTGAAGAGTAGCCAGCCACCCCTAGCTGGCTGAGAAATTCGGGAAATTGGGAGCAAACGAGTGTCAGCTTGCCAGTGACCCTTCTGGTCTCTAGTGCTTCTGGTGCCTTCTAACGGTCACATGACTCACTTCCTCACCACCTGCAGGTTTCTGTCTTAAGGGTACTTTCTCTGGAAGGCCTTTCCGCCTGTCCCCGTCTAAGCCCAGAGCTGGCTAAGGGTAGCCCATGCGTTGAGACTCCGAGGGCTGAGATGGTCCATAGGATGCTCAGGTCCCAGCTGGTGTCCTTTGAGCACGAGGAAGAGTCTTTAAGCAGTGAGGGGCAAAGTACAAGGTTCTGAGGCAGGAGCGGTGTCCCAGCCTGGTCCACAGGTTGATCATTTGTCCTAATGAACACCTCAGGGCAGGGCCAAGAGCTTTGGTGGAACAATAGTGAGCTGTTTGCATTAACAGCAGGAGATGGCTGGTGAGCACCTCTGCTTAGGGCCAGCTTCCCAGGAGCCTCTAAAGCAGCATTTCTCAGCCTGTGGGTCAAGACCCCTTTGGGGTTGAGGAATCCTTTCACAGGGGTCACATATCAGATATCCCACATATCAGATATTTATGTTATGATTCATAAGAGTAGTAAAATTACAGTTATGAAGTAGCAACTAAAGTTTTTATGGGTGGGGGGTCACCTCAGCATGAGGAACTGTGTTAAAGGGTCACAGCAGCCTTAGGAAGGTTGGGAACCACAGCTGAATAATAGCTCACTTCTTAACAGGTCCAGCCTGAGCCACAGGTAGATGAGGATCACCTGTGAGACTAGGGGATGTGGCTGACCACACAACTTTGCTGCTGGATCAGTGTTCTGGAAGGATCCCCATGCTGGGATGCCTCGCCCATCTTTGATGCAGGGAGAGGAGCTTGGTCCTGCCTCAACTTGATATGCCATGCTTTGTTGACTCCCAAGGGAGGCCTGCCCTCTTTCTGAGCAGAGGAGGAGTGGATGGGGAGGAGTAGACAGGAGGTGGAGGGGGGAGGGAACGGGAAGAGAAGAGGGAGGGGGATCTGTGATTGGTATGTGAAATAAATGAAAAAAAAAGAATGAAGTGAGTCAGCTCAAGTGAGCCTGGAAAGACTGGGCCTGTGATAGGGGGCCAGCTTCTCCTCTTCTGCTGACCTTGGGGGTGTGCCCAGGCCTAGCATCAGTAGACAGGAGCTTATGTTTTAGGTGTAAGGATATCAGTTATCTGTGGCTGTGTAGTGTTAATGTGTGTTAGTCAGTCCTGTGCACCTACAATTTGAGATAACTGATTTATAAGAATATATTTGTCTGGGTTCATACTTACGCAGCTTCCAGCCCAGGCCCGAACAGGGCTATCAGTTTTTGCCTCTGGGTGCTGGATGGCCGGGGCTGCGTGGTACAGGCAGTTGCTCAGCTTGACGCAGCCGCAGGCCCCTCAGTCTTAAAGTCTCCTTTGAGGACACATACCTCTTGTGATCTGAGAACCTGATGCTGGGCCCCATTTTCTAATAGTTTGACCATTTCTTAGGAGTCCTACTTTGGGAGCCAAGCTTTTAACCTAAGGGTCTTACCGGACATTTACCCAAGCCGTAGTACCATGTAACTCACACCTAGGAATCCCCGGGGGTTCAGTAGTAACCTCTCTGCTGAGGGTGGCCAAGTGCAGCCTATGGAGGCTAGATTTTCCGTTTGTCTGCACTCAGCTGGTGAGCTGCAGATGGCAAGACCAGGATGGCCTTGGCTGATGACTCATCTCGGTACCTCGTGACTGCCCATCCTCCAGCAGGCTGGTCCTGCTGGCTTTCTGTGGCACATGCAGGTTCCAGGAGGGCCATCTTGGCCCAGGTTTAATTCCACTTCTGCTGAAGTAAGTCACAGGTCAAGTTCAAGTGGAAAAAGCAGGCTTTCCTCTCAGTGGGGGAGCTGTGAAGTGGGGACGGAGTGGGGAGAGATTTCTTTCTGTCCAGTATACCCGAGGGACGATGAGGCTAAGTCTAGGACAATGACAAGCTCTCCCCTGGGTGTCTCCATCAAATCCCTGTTAAATTAGCTGTTGAGGAGTGATATTTGTGTAGATGTGTCTGTGGGAGCTCATGGGGAAGTGCTTGGGAGTCAAGAGGTCCTGGTTTGAGGGCAACCCTCTTTGATGGGTTGTGCTGGTGTGGGTTGCTCTCTGTTGGTTTTTCTGAGTTGTTTGAATGATGCACACTCAGCCTCCATGTCTACAGGATGCTTGGGACTTCTAGGTCACTGAAACAGCCTTTGATTCAGAGTTCAGCTCCCGGGAGGCTGTGATGGGGGGGTGGTTATTTCAGAACAGGTGAGGGGGTTGACAAGATGGCTCAGCAGGTGAAGGTGCTTGTACACACGGCTAGCTACCTAAGTTTAACCCCAGGAGCTGTCATAAGGGTGGGAGGAGAGAACTGACTGGAGAACATTGTTGTCCTCTGATCCTCTCCACACGCATGCTGTGTGGTGTGTGCACCAGTGAACGGTTTATTTTGGCCCACGGTTTCAAAGGTTTCGGTTCACAGTCACTTGGGCCTGTTGTGTTGGGTCTGTGGCTACACAGTACAGTGTGGTGGGAACATATGACGGAGGAGGCTACTCACTTCATGGCCGTCAGGGAGCAAAGAGAGAAAAAGGGGCTGAGATACTATTATTCATTAAAAATCTTGTCCCTAATGGCCTAACTTCCTCCCAGTAGGCCCCACCTCCTAAAGGTTTTATCACATCCTCGTAGTGATACAGGCCTTCAACACATGGACCTTTGAGCAACACTCAATGTCCATTTTATAATGCGTTACTATATAGACCCTTTTCATTTTATAGCTGGTGACAATGGGGCCCCTGGGGCAGGCAAGAAGGCTCAGAGGAGAGAGGCACTTGCTGCCAAGCC